CACGTGTTTGCCTCCCGGTGTTGCCGTGGTCCCGACGCGGTGAGCGCGCCATGACAGATCGCTCGTGAGATACCCGAAACCTGGTGTGTGCATTCTTGTCGGGGTGCTCGTCAAACGTAACAGGTTGTCTGGTCTGCGACTGTTCAAGATCGCGTGCGGCTGGATGGTCTGATCTGATCACAGAGTTGTGGATGAACCTGTTTCGAGGGCTCCGATCCCTCACCGACGGGGTTGGTGTTTTTACAAGTGCAGGGTCTTGTGCGTGCTTGCAGTTCTGTGTTCTCGTTTGAGATATTGGAAAGGCGACTGCGGGACCCAGTCTGCGTGTCTTTATTCTGCCCCCTGCAGGTGGGGAGTCTGCTCTAGGGCGACGGCTAGAGTCGTATTTAGAACGCCGTGGTGTGCATGGCCTCGTCGTCGGTGTACGCTGGTGTCTGGTGCTACGTATCTGTACATCCGCGCGCGTCCTGATGAAACGACAGGCTGAACCGTGCAGTGCAAACAGCTGCCAGGCACCAATAACTGCTGATTTGGCTCCTATTTTGTTCTGCACACACACACACACACACACAACACACAGAACACACACTCACAAAGACAGGCATTGCACGGAGCAGCATGTGACATTTTCGAGCTAACCAATCACACGTTACATAACGTCATGTGGGGTATTTTTTGACGGTTTGTCTCATGTTTTTAACTCAGCTGGATCACTCCAAAATATCAGGAGACACTCCGATCAATACACAGCTCTTTCTACCCCGCACTTTTATTTATTGTAATTTATCATGACATACTATTATATTATTAATGGCTACATGGCAATGTAACTAAGTAGCATTTTACCTGAAGTACTTTTACATAATAAATAACCTTGCTTTATGAGTTTGTGTGATAATATCAATATCAATATCAATATCATCAACCTACAACTGAACACATAATAAAACTGTTAAAACTGATCAAACTTCGTAACGATGTTCAAACAGAAATCAACACTGAAGCTTTGATTCCTGTTTCACAAAAATAAATCATTTAAATAGTTTATTAACAGCTAAGGTTAATTAATTCATTATATTATCACAACTAATAAATAACAAATTCACTACAACAATAAAATTATTAAATGTGTAATTATATATATTTATATAATATATAAATTATTATTATTATATATATTATGTATATATATATTCGTTTTTCAATTTTTTTTATTGATGATTTGGTCAGACATATACAGAACAATAACTGTTACATTATTACAGTTACATTGTGTCTTTTTTCAGTATCTGTCTTTTCTTCACAAACAAAAAATAAATAAAATATGAAAAATTCATATCCAGCAACTGAGCTAGGAATGGACCCCAAACTTCATTAAATA